AATATGCCAGATTACTTTAGTAAGCGTGATTTTCCACGATTTTTGTTGTATTTCATCGAATGTTTAAAGACCCAATTATGATTATAAATTTTTATATTTTATAAAGTAAGATGATGTTACTGAATATAATAAATATGACTGTAAAATTTGGAGAGCAAAAAACGACATCTAATTACTTCGTGGTATTCCGTACTTCAGTGTCAACTACTCGGTAATGCGCTCCGTTCACAGCGATCACATTTTGACGCGAGCGCTCCGGAGCGAAAGGGTTATAACAACATATATGGATGTCTAGCGAAGGGATCAGCAATGGATACGAGTCTCTAACAATTCCGTGTATCGAATGCCCCGATTCCTGGTCCCTTCGAGATCTGGTCCTCCGTCGCCTCTCAAGGGCCGGGTCATCCTGGCCCTTGTNCGCCACTGACACTTTTGTTACTTGTTTTATGTTTAATGTACTGTTTTCTTACATTTGTGTGTCAGTTTAAGCAACGTCTGTTTTGATCATTGCAAGTACTTTTTAAATCCCGAAAATATCTTCGTTTAATAAATGAATTTGAATAGCCCGCCAAATATTTTAGTTCGCGAAGAAGGTTTACTCCAACCGAAGATGGCGGTAGTGCATAAATCGTTACACCTCAATACATGGCAGTGTCGACCCCCTGGTCGCCTCTCAAGGGCTGGGTCATCCTCGCCCTTGCGTTGTTTACGTCTTCTCAAGAGCTGGATGGGGTGACGTAGTCCAGAGGAAAAGGAACGCGCCTTCAATAGTATCTTCAATGCGTTATGTTACCCACATGATTGAGAATATAACCGAGAATATAACCAATGATTCAATTTCCTGCGAACTGATAAGATTTAAATTTTCTGAAATAAAATTCAAGGTATTTTGAACAATTGCAACAAAATGTGCGATTATTATTCTGCGTGGAAGTTTCAATTACGTTTCTAAGGATTTTAGGTTTTTTGGCGTTCCACTAAAATTTTTGCACTTTTGCTGTAATCAAATGAGCCACGAAAATACTACAATAAGTGGTGTTTAATTTTATGAAACGGATTGATTGCAATTTGTTAGGTACAATTAATACTAATGAAAGTAATAGATTATTTTGGAAAAGTTCTCTTAAATCCTCATAAATTCTCTGGAAATTTTTTAATCATCGTAATGCTTTCGATTATATCGCTGGAACTTGAATTCTCAGGAATTTAGAGAGACTAGATCTTTGTCGCCAAAATGGAAAAACACGGTCTGCGCCATCTCTGAAAGCCTCTACAGATAATATTCGTAAACTTTGTGCAGATTATCCAGGAATAAATCTAATCTAATCTAGCTTCTCTAGAGATAGGCGATATTCTTTGTTTACAAATATTTTGTAAACACGGGTAAGTCTGTGATGCAATTTTATGGACGATCCTTCTCACCTCTTAAGGTGAAGTGAAACACGTCGAGGAACTTGATCAACGTCGATAAAAAAGATTTTTCTAAATGCCTACGTTGCGGACGATCGTTTTTATATCGACAGCTGGGTCGAATTATATTGGATATTGTACCAAATGGCAAACTCCACCTGTCGTTTCCGTACAATAATTATAAAGAAATCGAAGTAAAACTCTAGAAATCTTCTGGATTCATGCCTTCTGGGGCCCTAATTGACTGCGGAGGGACCCCCTGCGCCATCTGTGATTTCCAGGTCAATTAAATTTTCACTCCGAGACCTCGTATTACCATCGTTTTAACAAAGAAGCGTATACAACACTTTTTTTCCCTTTATCTCGTTCAAATGCGAGTTTATCGATTACCAGAGTGTTCTAAATTGTCGTAGAATTGTCGTGACCCTTTCGATTCTCATATCAGAGCCTTCGATAATTCTACATTGATCGAAATATGAGAGCTCGACGCCATTTTGGTTCTGCTCTGGACCGAATTAAAAAATTTGTTTGAAAAATCCAAATTTTGAATGTGTCAGGACAATTCTTAGCTGATCAGGAGTGATATGTCAAAGTTTCGGACAGTTTGGTCTAATACCCTTAAAAAAAAGTGTTGTATTCGAATCGACTGATTTGAAGGATGTTTCACTTCACCTTAAGTCGATGTGAAAGGCGCGGAGAAATTTATTCGACGTCGGTAAAAAAGAATTCGGACATCTCTATCTAATTAATGAAATATCTGAAATCGTGAGCTACATTACCGACATTTATATTTATATTGTCTATTGCACGCTGCATTGGGAATTATACGAAATGGCATACACCATGTGCCGTTCCTAGGGTTGGGTAATTTTGCGTTCTTCGAGGTTTTTGACGTATATTACGCATAAACCATGTGGTTTACCGTAAAAAAATCCTAGAAAACCAGTAAATTACCCTTCCAATGTGAAGGATGCCGCAGATGCGCGATGTACGGCTTCCGCTAGGTTGTAAACGTCCTTTAGCACGTATGTGTAAACACGTAAATATTTTTATGGAATAATAAATTAATTTGCCGCTTGCGTTCAAAATTGTTTAGAATTTTACGTCACCAATATTGCGGATGCCGTAAATGCACGATATATGTATCCACTAGGTTATAAACGTCTTTTAGCGCACATGTCGACACGTAAAAATTGTTAAGGAATAATTTCACGCTGGTATTCAATGTTATTTTGACTCAACACCGTTTAATATAAAATTTCTAACTCGATTTATTATTTTCTGTTTAGAAATGGAGAGGCATAATATACTTCGCGGTCGCGTATAAAACTATAGACGTATTATACGTTGTAATGCACACGTAGAAATTCACACGTATATTACGTGACGTGTTATACCTACCCAACCCTGAAAATGATTGAGCATAATTCCTGACACTCTCGATGGTTACTTTAGTCTTCTAGAAGAGAATAATGGTAAAAATATGTGACTTGACTTTAGCCTATGCTAAATAAAAACCAAACTGTTTTCGAAAACTGAATTTTTTTAGTATTAAGTGCGGTGTTAGCACCTTTACAATCGTGGGTTAAAAGTTACCAACCAATCGGTTAGTCCATCATTAAAAATGTGTATCCGTTGAAAACCGCCTTTCACAAAACCTTAAGGTGAAGTGAAACACGTCGAGGAACTTGATCGACGTCGATAAAGATGATTCTTCTAAATGCCTACGTTGCCGACGTTCGTTTTTATATTTACAGCTGTGTTGAATTGTATTGGGTATTGTACCAAATGGCATACTCCACCTGTCGTTTTCGTACAATAATTATAAAGAAATCGAAGTAAAACTCCAGAAATCCTCTGGATTCATGCTTTCTGGGGCCCTAATTGACTGCAGAGGGACCCCTTGCGCTATCTGTGATTTCCAGGTCAACTCAATGACCAGGTCAACTCCGAGACCTCGTAGTCCCATGGTTTTAGCATAGAAGCGCATACAACACTATTTTTTCCTTTATCCCGTTCAAACGCAAGCTTATCGATAACCAGAGTGTTCTAAATTATCGTAAAATTATCCTGACCCTTTCGTTTCTCATATCAGAGCCTTCGACTATTCTATATTGATCGAAATATGAGAGCTCGACGCCATTTTAGTTCTGGTCTGGGTTGTTAAAAAATATTTTCCAAAAACTCAAATTTTGAATGTGTCAAGACAATTCTTAGATGATCAGGAGTGATGTGTCAAAGTTTCGGACAGTTTGGTCTAATATCCTTAAAAAAAAGTGTTGTATTCGAATCGACTGATTTGAAGGGGGTTTCACTTCACCTTAAGATGAAGTGAAACACGTCGAGGAACTTGATCGACGTCGATAAAGAAGATTTTTCTAAATGCCTACGTTGTCGACGTTCATTTTTATATTGACAGCTGGATCGAATTATATTGGATATTGTACCAAATGGCATACTCCACCTGCCGTTTTCGTACAATAAATATCAAGAAATCGAAGTAAAACTCTAGAAATCCTCTGGATTCATGTTTTCTGGGGCCCTAATTGACTGCTGAGGGACCCCCTGCGCCATCTGTCATTTCCAGGTCAACTAAATTTTCACTCCGAGACCTCGTATTCCCATCGTTTTAGCATAGAAGCGCATACAACACTTTTTTTGCCATTATCCCGCTCAAATGCGAGTTTATCGATTACCAGAGTGTTCTAAATTGTCGTAAAATTGTCCTGACCCTTTCGATTCTCATATCAGAGCTTTCGATAATTGTATATTGATCGAAATATGAGAGCTCGACGCCATTTTGGTTCTGGTCTGGGCTGAGTTAACAAATTTTGTTCAAAAATCCAAATTTTGAATGTGTCAAGACAATTCTTAGATGATCAGGAGTAATGTGTCAAAGTTACAGTCAGTTCGGTTCAATACCCTTAAAAAAAAAGTGTTGTATTCGAATCGACTGATTTGAAGGGGATTTCATCTCACCTTAATAACGATCGATGCTTTTTGCATTGCGACCACCTAAACCCTGTTCTTAATTAAATTAATTTCTTCGTTGTCCTTCCGTGCACGTGAATTGCGTGCAATCCTAAATGATTGTTCTACGAAGAACCGTTGTGATAATAATCATGTCAAACACATTGATGTACTTGTAATGTTTTAGAAAACGCGTGATCGAGACGGACCACTTTATCATGTAATAATGAACTATTTATCGATACAGGTCGGCGGTCACACTCGATTGCTGCTCCTCAACCAGAATACAATTTGCAAGCCACTGAACTGCAGAGAGCTCGACTTCTATCAAAACATTCCGCAAGACATACAAATGTTTGTTCCCAAATTTAAAGGTAAGCCAACACACTCGACATGCTATCATGCGTCATAGATAAGATTCATTAGTACGTGTGTACAATTCGATGCTTACCATTTTTATCAACCATTGCTATGCCAATAACTCACGAAACCGATGTAACTTGATTATATTTGGCCCTTACATTTCCATTACATTAGAGGACGTTCCCGAACAGGAATGCACTCTCGATCTTTCTATTGAATTTACAGTGCCTGTGAAATCTGTCAAATTGTAAAGTGTTGGTGGGTGTATGCTTAGTGAAGTGAATCATTTTCATATCCATTGGAAGCGTGTAATAGTTATTGTCCACGTCAGCATTGAGTGAAAAATAGAAAATAACAAGATATGTACAAGAACAAAGTATTTTGCTAATGTGCGAAGAGTTTTCTGGCCAATGAGATGACACGATAATGGTGCGTGTTGTGTCAATTTTATATTTATCTTATGGGTACGATATATCGTAAGGGTAATATTTGGGATGCATATAATGTCATATAAGAATCAGAAATAAAGCAATTATTCTGAATAAAGAGTTCTTATTTCTTTGAAGACGAGATTGAAACGATAACGAGACCGTTGCCTAGTCGTTAAGCCTCGTTCATCACCAATTAAAGAAATATCTTTAATTCGTCGGGTCTATATTAGCGAGACAACTCACGAGAAAGGTTTAATTACGGAAATATTGATATTAACGCATATTTACATATTTAATGCAGGTATTTGCGTAGGTTTCATCACTCTTGAGATTTTACAAAGTCGCAGGCACGATAAAATTGCCTGTTATTGAATCTGTGAAAAAGCTTGAAACTGTGTCATCACCAACTTGACCCATCATAAATGATATATTAAAAGAGGTTAATAAAGGTTAAACATGTCAGAAGAGAGGTTTCTTTCCGTATTACGCCAGCTATGTGATGTTAATTACTTAAGTTAAAAAAGTCATCTATAAACGATATGAGAAACGTTTGACCTAACCTACGTAACCTCTCACAGATGACTAATCATGTGGAATCGACGGATGTATAAGCGGTTCATCGGTAAACTGTGAGATTTTCGGTACTAAAAAGTGATCCAGTGAACCATTTATGCAAAACTACGCACCGCTTGGAACATTGATACAGGATATTACGTCAGTGTCCAGATCTTAACCTCCAATCGGTGCTCGGTCACTCTTGGGACTCGTTTGAGAGGACCACAAAGACTAGCTTGTAATTGCTAATTCAAGTCGATAACGCAAAATCTCCGTTTGAACTGTGCATTTGCACGTCTTGCGATAATGAGAACGTACGTCCCCGGTAGAAAGGGACGAGAATCGTCGAGTATGGGTTTCGGGTGTCGGGAGATTGTAACTTTGGATCTTTCCGTTGCAGTAATTAGAGAACCGGCCACTCCGGGTGGCTTCTTCAGCGTCGCGTCTGGCCGTGAACTAAAGTGTCTCTGATAATCCACGAAGCTCCAGAGTGGTTCAGGATTATCCGTGCCAGTGGTTGGACGAGGCAAGGTGTGTGCCGAACTGGTGTCGTAGGTCTCTTCAGACTCGTCCTGGACTCGATCGGTCGCGCGATGTTCCTGGGATGGGTATATTTGGCAGTCAATACATTTACAACAAAAGCAAATTTGTCACCATAATAAGCAGCCGATTGCTCGATACATTGTTAGTTAATTAAAGACTCGGGTCGGGCCGGTGTCCCAAGACAAGTGCTGCGTTTACGTACTTTAACCAATGACGTGCCGAGCAATTGGCTGCTTAGTACCTCTTAAAATTTGTACGTGCTGTAACGGTATTTATCGAACGCAAGTGTACCCATCCAAGACCTCCGGTCGACGACATGTTGACGGATCGCAAAGCAAGGGGACCGTTAAGGTGTCTTGTCTATGAACAAACCTGAATGCATCAAATTCGCTATGTTTGATGATTGTCTAGCAAAAAACCTTTTCTTTTAAGTATCCCCAGAGCCAATAGTCCGACAAGGATTCGTGTCTGGGAATCGAGGCATGGCCTGCTCGCAGACCCACTAGTGCCCTGAACGCATTCCGTTTGCTTCTCCTTGGCCAATGCTCGGGGTTTGTATTATGTTGCTGATCTCACCAATAATATTGTATTTCGATTTCCAACGTGCGAGAGATTTATATATCCATATATTTCTATATATACATGTATATAAATACATATATATAAATGTGAACATTTTACACTAGCTTGTAATCAGAGAGAATCGGAGAACTAAGAATCTTTCTCGTTTGGTCGAGTCAGTCGGTTGGTTACCGTTTAAGATTTAACATTTTTTTTTACTCTGTTACGTGCGTGCACTTCAGTCAAAATTGTAGATACAATCGTCGCTTCCCTTGGCCTCGTTTGCATCTTCTGCAACTCGTGCGTCCGTTGTAGTCACGATCATTTTCAATGTCATCGAAAGAGGTTCACGGTCCATTCGAGCAATACTTAATCTCACCCTCACGAAATTCATTCACTCAGGTAATTCGTTCTCCGAGGTGATTGACCAGCTACTGGGACGATTAAATCTAGCTATTTTGACTGAAATGTCGGTCGAACGATTCGTTTGAAAAGTAAAAAAGGAAAAATTGTTTATCCTTAGTCCGGGATTTAACCTAACCTCTTCTTGTTCAAATTTCTTTGCCGTACATTGGAATCACATTTCGTCCGTAGTTACTTAAAAGCGTGCCGGTGTACTCGAAAGGATAGTACTTTTTCTCGTCAGTGGAGTGTTCGGACAGCTTGGAAGTTATCTGGTAACTTTCATGTTATCGGTGAACTAAATTTTTGGATAAATTTAATTAAATGTACGGCACTTTACACACACTTGGCAGGAAGAGGTTAACCGAGTGATACAGAGCACTAATCGTCATCGCTTTTCACGTATCAGCTACATTCGGTATAAGTAACAGTAACTCGACATAACTTGTGGTTCTTCAGGCTACTCGATTGATCTTACGGTTGATGTTTCAGGTGTCATCCAGGCTTCCAGTAATGGAGAGGTTACCTTGGATAAACGCTACAGCCCGAGCTTCAGGGATCAAGATACTCGCCAAGGGAAAAATTCCACCAAGAGGAAACGTGATGACGTTCTTAGGTGAGAGGTTATCGGTGGTTATCGTGCTTCCTCCTTTGTAGAATTCCATCCAACCGTGTAAAATAGCGCAACGAGATAAGGCGTTTCGTTGACACTTTGCTCCTCGCTAATGCTCCCATTTTATCTTTTGAACAGGATGAGGATCCATCGCAATGACAGTTCTCTGGAAGCTCTGAGATCCGGCACTCATTTAGACAGTTCGCCTAATGGACAATGTATCCTTACAAACACTTCTACCATTTTGTTATTAAACTTTCCTCTACGTAGTAATTCATTTAATTCATTGCCCCGCGAACTCGACTTAAGGTGCAGTGAAATCCTCCTTGAATCAAGTGATTCGAATAAGACACTGTTTTTGAAGTATATTCCATCAAACTGGTTGAAATTGTAGCACATGATTCGTCAGCATCAAGGAATATCCTGACACTTTCAAAGTTTAGAAGTTTTAAACAAATTTTTTTTCTTTGTCTAGACCAGAACCAAAATTGCTTTGTGATTTCACATTTCGATCGATATATACCATTCTTGATGGCCCTGATTTGAGAAGAAAAGAGTCACAATGGTCGCACAACGAATTTAACCCTCTATGGGCCGAATTTTTGTTTTAAATAAAAAAAAATTGGGGGAACGAACAATCAGCAATTAGGAACCTATATATGCAAATGAAAAAAAAATTTTCGTTTAAAATGTGACTTGAAAGTTACACGGGCCCATAGAGAATTAAAACAGTAGTAATCGAGAAACGTGGCTTTGAACGCGATGAAGGCAAAATGTGTCTTATTAGCTTTTGTGCTAAAATTAAGGCGATATGAAAGGATCAGCCTATATATATTTCTGAGAGGTCACATCGTTTGTGAAGATATTTTACGAATGGGAGGTACCGATTCGCTACCAATTTTATCATGTGAACAAGGAAATCCTAAGGTAGGTCCTGAAACTCATGAAATTTCATTTTTTTTTATAAAAAATGTATTTAACACTGACTAGAAGCAACATGGTGTGGCCCGTACACGTATCTGATGTTTCACGCTTTTTGGAGATTTATAATCGAAAATGAAGAGTTTCAGGACCTAGCTCGAACAATTTAGAATACTATAAAAATGAAATATTACGGAGTCAGATGGAAAAATATGGAAAATTCTTTCATCAACGATTGCAAGCGAATGCTGGTTTGTTCCGGAGGTAACGCGTGTTTTAAGGTGAAGTGAAACACGTCGAGCAACTTGATCGACGTCGATAAAGAAGATTTTTCTAAATGCGTACGTTGCCGATGTTCGTTTTTATATTAACAGCTGGGTCGAATTATATTGGGTATTGTACCAAATGGCATATTCCACCTGTCGTTTTCGTACAATAATTATAAAGAAATCGAAGTAAAACTCCAGAAATCCTCTGGATTCATGCTTTCTGGGGCCCTAATTGACTGCAGAGGGACCCCCTGCGACATCTGTGATTTCCAGGTCAATTGAATTTTCCCTCCGAGACCTCGTATTCCCATCGTTTTAGCATAGAAGCGCATGCAACACTTTTTTTGCCTTTATCCCGTTCAAATGCGAGTTTATCGATTACCACAGTATTCTAAATTGTCGTAAAATTGTCTTGACCCTTTCGATTCTTATATCAGAGCCTTCGATAATTGTATATTGATCGAAATATGAAAGCTCGACGCCATTTTGGTTCTGGTCTGGGCCAAGTTAAACAATTTTTTCCCAAAATCCAAATTTTGAATGTGTCAGGACAATTCTTAGATGATCAGGAATGATGTGTCAAAGTTTCGGACAGTTTGGTCTAATATCCTTAAAAAAAAGTGTTGTATTCGAATCGACTGATTCGAAGGGGGTTTCGCTTCACCTTAAGAGCAAAAAATTAATTGCAGCTAGCATCACAGATGGCGTCGTGTGTCCATTAGAGTAGGAAAAATCATGAATTCTCCGGATTGCGACAATTTTACATTGATCTCTCTTTAATTACTCTATTGAAATGACGCATAGATCGCTTTATTTCGAATGATTTTCAACGTAGAGTGCAACACATTTTTTTCTTTATCCTAGACTAGAACCATGGACGCATATATTCTTTTAACACTAAACCTACCACCGGCGGGTCAAATTGACCGGTTTAAATAGTATTTGTAATGGGGGTATAAATCGTCGGTAGGTTTTGTGTTAAATGTAATTTCATGAACATTTCATTCTTCCTTAGGGCCTCCATAATCACGTACTAAAGTTTCAAATGATTCAATGCACCCAAGTTTGGAGAAAAGCTTTATATTAGGTTGCGGAATAGGTTCCCACCGTTTTTAACGTAATGTAACGTAATTAAAACGGCGGGAACTTATTCTTCAAGCTAATAAATGCTTTGACGTTTTATATATATATATAGAATGATCCTTTTGTATCATTTTAAGGTGTTTAATTTAAGAAACTATTGGTCGCTAACTAATGTATAAGTTTCCAAAGCAGTTCGGGGCGATTTGCTAAATTTCCTTAAATCATGACATTAGATTTCCTACTGTTGGAGAACATAACGTCCCGATATTCGCATCCGTGTATATTGGATCTAAAGATGGGAACGAGACAGCACGGAGACGACGCCACTGCGGAGAAGCGAAGCAAGCAAATTGCCAAGTGTGCAGCCACCACCTCTGCATCCTTAGGTGTCAGGCTGTGTGGTATGCAGGTACGTCCAAGAATGATCAAAGAAGAGCTAAGAAGAAAACCTATAGAGTAGCGATGTGACCAGTCGAGAATTTTAACTCGTTAAGGTGAAGTGAAACACGTCGAGGAACTTGATCGACGTCGATAAAGAAGGCTTTCCTAAATACCTACGTTGCCGACGTTCGTTTTTCTATTGACAGTTGTGTCGAATTATATTGGGTATTGTACCAAATGGCATTCTCCACCTGTCGTTTTCGTACAATAATTATAAAGAAATCGAAGTAAAACTCCAGAAATCCTCTGGATTCATGCTTTCTGGGGCCCTAATTTACTGCAGAGGGACCACCTACGCCATCTGTGATCTCCAGGTCAATTAAATTTTCACTCCGAGACCTCGTATTCCCATCGTTTTGGCATACAAGCGCATACAACACTTTTTTTGCCCTTATCCCGTTCAAATGCGAGTTTATCGATTACCAGAGTGTTCTAAATTGTTGTAATATTGTCCTGACCCTTTCAATTCTCATATCAGAGCCTTCGATAATTGTATATTGATCGAAATATGAGAGCTCGACGCCATTTTGGTTCTCGTCTTAGCTAAGTTAAATAATTTTTTCAAAAAATCCAAAATTTCAATGTGTCGGGACAATTCTTAGATGATCAGGATGTCAAAGTTTCGGACAGTTTGGTCTAATACCCATAAAAAAAGTGTTGTATTCGAATCGACTGATTTGAAGGATGTTTCACTTCACCTTAACTTAGTATGCATTGTGGGGGTGCTGAGTGAACGTTCACTCAGCACTCCCACCGATTTTCGGTATAAGGGGTGGAGCACTAAAATCGAGATTGTAACACTAAAATAGTACTAAAAAAGCACTAAATTCTCCAATAGGTTTCATTCCATATTTCCGATGTGGGGGTGCCTACTGTACATACATAAAGTATTCGACTCGTCACATCGCTAGTGAAGAATGGAAAGGGGTTTTAGGGTGGATTTTACCTCATTGCAGGTGTATCAGGCTGACACGGATCACTACGTCAAGAGGGACAAGTACTGGGGCAGAGAATTGAACGAAGAGGGGTTCAAAGCCGCGCTTTACCGGTTCTTCCACAATGGTTTCTGTTTAAGAACGTCGGTTGTCCAGAGAGTGATCTCGAAACTGGAGCAGCTGCGTAGGGCGATCGAGAGGCAGAGCAGCTACCGGTTCTATTCGTGGTAAGTATAATTGGTAAAGTCGCCACAGTGTACGGTAAGAAGCGGATGTACAGCGTCTTTGAATAACAGCACTTGTTTAACACATTCACCGCCACGTGCACCTTGACATTTTCCGTCTACGCCACTAAGATTTTATTATACTAAAAAGTATGTTGGAACATTAAGGTGAAGCGAAACACGTCAAGAAATTTCATTAATGACGGTAAAAAAGATTCTTATAACTACCTACGTTACCGACGTTGGTATTTATATCGACAGCTGTGTCGAATTATATTGGGTAATCAACTAAATGGCTTATTCCATGTGCTGTTTCCGTGCAATAATTATAAAAAAATCGAATTAAAACTCCGGAAATCTTCTGGATTCATGGTTTATCATGGACTTAATTAACACTTTGACTGCCGTGTCACCCAAATATGGGTGACATTCCAGTCACACCCATAGATGACGTGGCAGTCAAAGTGTTAATTGCAGAGGCTGTCCTGCGCCATCTGTGATTTCAGTGGCAACTAAATTTTCTCTCCGAGATCTCGCATTACCATCGTTTTAGCATAGAAGCGCATTAGACGCCTTTATTTGCATTTAGTCCGTTCAAATACGAATTTATCGATTACTAGAGTGTTCTTAATAGTAACACAATTGTCCTGACACTTTCGTTTCTCATATCGGGGCCTTCAATAATTATATATCGATCGAAATATGAGATCTCGACGCCATTTTGTTTCTGGTCTAGGCTAGGTCAGAAAATTTATTACAAAGATCTAAATTTTGAAAGTGTCAGGAAAATTCTTAGGTGCCCATAAATCGTGTGTCCAAATCTTTGGGCAGTTCGGTATAATACCCTTAAAAAAGTGTCTTGTTCGAATCAATTGAATAAACAGGGGTTTCGCTTCACCTTAAAGGGATGTGAGAGTGATATCTGAGGGGCCAATCGTTCGTGAAACTTTTCTCCTAACTGCGTGCACCGAATCATTTCAAACTTCATAATGTGAATATGGAGGCTACAAGGAAGGTGCCGACACCCATAAAATTTCAATTTTTTTTAAACCTGTAGATATTTTCAAAATTTTCTATTGAAAAAATGAAATTTCATGAGGGTTGGAACCTTCCTTATAGCCTCCACGTTTACGTTGTAAAGTTTGAAACGATTCGGTACCCCCAGTTTGTAGAAAAGTTTCATGAACGATTGACCTTCCGGATGCCGCTTTCGCATCCCCTTGAAAGTCATCGCTAATTTTCTGGACGATCGCAGTTCCCTGCTCCTGGTCTACGAAGGGTACCAGGTGGAGGACTTCGCGACCCACCGAGACGCGTCGCCGGCCATGCGACGTCGGGAGGACTCGTCGAGCGACCACCTGGTCGGGTTCATGGAGAAGATCGGCAGGGCCTCGGACGCCTGCTACGACGCGGACACCAGCAACAACTCGATCGACTACAACCTGTCGGTCTCGAGCCACGAGGAGGTGAGCAGCCAGGCGGCGCTGCACCGGGGCTTCGGGGAGGCCGCGGCACGCGGAGCCAACAACTCGACGGGTTTCTATCCGATCAACGAGGAGACGGTCTTCATGGACCCTCCGTCGGGGCTGATGGAGACGGTGGTCGGCCGGCCGGTGCGGAGGTCGTACCCGCCCTACGTCGACTGGACCCTGTACAGCAGCAGCAGCGGTGACGAGTACTGCTGCCCCGGGTCGCACACCCTCGTCAACTCCGAGGACACCAGCTCCGACCTGGACATCGGCCTCGGCTCGGACAAGCTCGGCTTCCGGCGCCACAAGGACAGGTTCTCCGGCCACCTGCGCGTCTCCAGGTCGAGCTATCGGCTCGAGGACGAGGAGGAGGAGCCCTTCGAGCGCGGCGTCGACGTGCCCAAGAGGCTAAGAGTCGTCAACGAGCCCGAGGGCGTCCCCGGCGATCCCGCGGTCGACGTTCGCATCATCGACTTCGCCCACACCACCTTCTGCCACGGCGAACCCACCTCCTCCAACTCCACCGTTCACCAGGGCCCGGACTGCGGCTTCCTCACCGGGCTCGACAGTCTCAAGAGACTGCTCCTCGAGATCCTCCAGGAGGGGTAGGCCCCCTCCGACTCGACCACCCGGAGGCGCACCTGCGACTTCCTCTCGACGGTGCACGGATGTATCTCAATAAAGATTACACTCGTGCCGAGCGGGGTGCTTACGTCTCGTGGCGGATGATCGCCGGGTGTCGTACATACGCGCGTGGACCGATGGACCGCGGGCCAAGGACGCTGCTCGACCTCGTTCGGACGAGAAGCGACGTAACTGTACCTATGTAAATCGTCAGCCTTGCGTCCTTTCAACGGAGGCAAGTCCCCGTCGACGACGACGGTCGCTGGTTTTTATGAAATCGGTAGAGAACGTTCGTACATGGAACGATGTTCGCGAGTCACGGCACGTGAACAAGAGAGTAACCGAGAATACTGCTCGGCCTCGTTTGGACGAGAAGCGACGGGCGTGTACCTATGTAAATTGTCAACGTAGCATACTTACACCTAGGTAACTCCTCTTCAGCGACGACGGTCGCTGAGTTTTATGAAATTGGGGGAGAATGTTCATACATGGAACGATACTTGCGAGTCGCGGCTAGTGGAATTGTTCTAACCAAGAATGCTGCTCGACCCCGGTCGGACAAGTACCGACGTACCTGTACCTATGTAAATTGTCATCCTACCGTACTTCCAACGGGGGCAAGCCCTCCTCGTCGACAACGGTCTCTGATTTCTGCCAATTTAGCAGGTAGCGGTTAGGTCCGCCGATCTCTTGTCGATTCGGGCTTCGTCGTCCTCGACGAGTCCGCGAAATGCTCACTCTCGCGGTTCCTCCTCGATCTCGACCTGGGCAGCGTCTGTAACGTTTATGCATTTTAACTGACATCACGTAGGAAATTAAGAGCCGCAACGTGTCACGGCCTAATTGTAGCAGCTTCAGGAATCGGAAGATCCGGCTGGTAGGTTGGTCGGCGAGGCGTGCCTCCGCGAATTAGTCTTTACCAATGGCGAGACCTCGTCGACTTCCCGTGACACCGGTCTTTGGAATCTGGGGAACCTCTAGGGTCGCTGGATTCCAAGAAGCTGTTGGTATTTTGTACCTGTTCACCCTCGGCGACACCCTGAAGAGTGGTCTCGAGGTGTCACCGAGCCACGCGATTGGGGAAACGTTAGGCCGTTTTCACCCGCACTGGCAAAATAGGAGTCGGCGCCGGCTCTGATCTTTACACTAACTGGATAGCTGATATCCTACAAAATGGCGGGACATTTCGAAGTGGCCGTAGAGGCCTCTAGTTATGGGCACGTCAACTAATATCGTACCATTTGCGCATACGTTCAAACAACGCGTCATTCAACGTAGATAGTATAAGAATGGTCAAATTAATTTACTGGAAGAAATACTTGTTATCGTTACTGGAATTCTTACGAGACAAAAGATAACGGTTTTGTTTCAGTCGAAGCTTTCTTACGATATGCCCAACGCACCATTTTACCTGTAAATTATGTCTCTTCTGTTCTTTTATATCTTGAACGTTTACCCTCGCGAATTGACAGTTCAAAATTTGTTTTTGCGGCGATTGACGGTTCGAAACTTTTACATGTGCGCACATGTTAATTATTTAGTATCGCTGACCGTGTCTAGTGGCGCTGGGGTGCTTTGAATTCGTCAAAGTCCTCTCCAAGAATTTGTTATTGCGGCGATTGACGGTTCTAAACTTTTACACGTGCGCACATGTTACTTGTTTAGTATCGCTGACCGTGTCTAGTGGCGCTGGGGTGCTTTGAATTCGTCAAAGTCCTCTCCAAAAATTTGTTATTGCGGCGATTGACGGTTCGAAACTTTTACACGTGCGCACATGTTACTTGTTTAGTTTCGCTGACCGTGTCTAGTGGCGCTGGGGTGCTTTGAATTCGTCAAAGTCCTCTCCAGACAGAACAAATAGGTATCAGCTAGTCAGGTAGTATGCAGATCAGTGCGGTGCCGACTCCGATGAATGGGGATTGGTATCCGAGAAAGCAATGAACAGCTCACCGACGCCTATGAGTTTCGACAAGCGTGTACAAGTTCGCATAAGATTACATTAGAATCGGCATCCGGCTTGCCAAGTCCAACGCCGGCGCACTGAACAGTCGGACCGGAAATTACTAGATTACACGTGCAAGCTCCCATTTATTTACATTGCATCCGGGAAAAACGCCAGCGTCCGCGCCGGTTTTGCCGGTGCGGTTGCAAACGGCCTTAAGGGGACGTAAAAGTGGCATCCGAGGAGTCGATCGTTCATGAAACTTTTCGCTGTACCGGATGTACCGAATCATTTCATATTTTACACCGTGATTATGGAGTCTCTAAAGAAGGTCTTGACCCTCATGAAACTTAATTTCTTATATAAAAATTTTAAAATCCCTATAAAAGAATTTGTTAAAAATTGAAATTTCAGGACATTCCTTATAGTCTTCATATTCACGTTGTGAAGTTTAAAATGATTAGGTGAACCTAATTCGGAAAAAAAGTTGTATGAACAAAACCTCTTCGAAACCACCTTAAGGTGATGTGAAAGTGGCATCTGATGGGTCAATCGTTCATGACTGTATTCTCCGAATGGGGTGCACCAATTTGTTTCAAGTTTTACCACATGAATAAGGAGACCCTAAGGTAGGTCCTGAAACTCGCAAAATTGCAATTTTTATAAAATGTTCTGAAAATAGCAATAAATAAATTATTTAAAAATTAAAATTTCGTGGGGGTCGGGACTTTCCTTATAGCCTCTATATTCGTATTGCAAGGTTTAAAACGATTCGGTACCTCCAGTTCAAAGAAAAGTTTCATAAAAGAGACCTCTTTGACGCCACTTTCACATCACCTTAGGAGACGATCGAGACCCAAGGTAAAATGACTCCTCACGAAGTTACGACTTTTAACTATTAACTCCAACCGTTTTTGAGGGTTGATCAAGGGTAAAAGTAATCCGATGTGCGCGGGTCGAAGTTGAGATATTTTACCTTAGTGCGTAGGATCGATGCCTCTGTCTAAAAGATTTTAACGATTGTCGAAACCTATTGTCATCTCGTTTTCGTGGCAAGTTGGATACCTTGAGTTAGGCGCGTACCCTGAGATTATTCTGATATATTTTGGGTTCTTTGAGTACCTGAAGTTCGGCGCTTACCACTAGGTGGCGTGAAAGTCGCGTCAAAGAAGTCTCGTTTATGAAACTTTCCTTCGAACCGAGTTTACCGAATCGTTTCAAACTTTAGAACGTGAATACAGAGGCTATAAGGAAGGTCCCGACCCTCGTGATATTTCAAGTTTTACAACAAATCTTAAGAACATCTATGAACAAATTGAAATTTTGTGAGTTTCAGGACCTCCCTTATAGCCTTCCTATATATTCCAAAGTTTGAATCGGTCCAGTACACCCATTTTGGAGAAAAGTTTCACGAACGAGAATTCTTTGACGCCACTTTCACGTTACCTGCCTTAGGTATCATCGGTTTGGGGCATATCTTGAGATTTGGCCCTTTCAGATTAGCCTTTAGCGTACCTTGAGGTACCTTGGATACCTTTGTATGCCTCGGATATTTCGGTGGAACTGGAAGAAGGTCCTAGTTATTTCCAACCTTCGTTACGGTAGGGAGTATCGGTCACGGGACCGTGCATTTGGTTGATGCACGTTTTCCCCTGAACTCCCCTTATTGGGTTCGATCGATGGAACGAGTCGCTAGATCGAACCCAGGGCGTGTAAATATAAGTAGCGTTGTGTAAAGCCAACTCGAGTGCTTGTACAGTATTGTCGCGATGTTTGCCGAACCTCCGGTCATCACGGTCGCGTTAGGTGTTTAAGTTAATCGTCTTTGCCGATGCGTGGCGCCGCACACCTTACTATATACCACTCGTTTCCGGTACCAGGTGTATATAGAACGATCGAAGCTGCGTCCAGCTGCCTTTCGGTTTTTCGGAGTCGAACCAAACCTTGCATCGTTTGGATACCTTCCGATCTGAAACCGAAGAAGCTGAGCGCATCGACGGGAAATCGGACCGTCGTTAAAGCTCCTCGATTCAGCGTTTTCCGTATTTTCCTTCTTTCTTCCCGTCTTTCCGTTTCTCTACGGTGTTACGCGGAGCGATCGCGATCGTATTTTGTTTCCTTCTCGAGTCTTAACCATGAAGTATTATAAGGAGATTCAACGCCATTTATTGAAATCGTCCCCTCTTTAGGGGTCGAAGATCTGACTTTTCCCATCTAGCGCCGAGAGCGCCTCCTCGATGAAATATTCCAATTCAAAATTATTCTCCGTTAGCGGGTCTGCTAGTCTTTGTCGCGTTAAAAACATCACATTCTGTATATCATCCGCGGATTGTCCTTTCGCTTTGCGTACCTTAAGGTGAAGTGAAACACGTCGAGAAATTTGATCGGTATCTGTAAAAAAGATTCTTCGAAATATTTAACCATGAAGGTATCCCAGGTCGATCTCTCGGATTTAATTTCTTTTATATGTTATAGTAGACTAAAAACTAAGCGACACGTATTTTTTTTTTTATGTACCATTAAACACTAAGGGGGTGAAACCACCATCCAAAGTAAGGCATGTCAAGGGGCGATTTGGTAGTTTCACCCACAAGAACACAATATTTTTTAACCAATCCACCTGGAAATGCTTTCTAATAACGAGAAATGAAAATAATAATTTTCTCAATTAAAAAAAAAAATAAGGGGTGAGCCACCCCTCATAGGCCTTACTTTGGATAGTGGTTTCACCTCCTTAAAGTGTTTAATGGAAGATAAAAAAAAAATACGTGTCGCTTAGTTTTTAGTCTACTATAACATATTATAAAAGAAATCAAATCGGAGAGATCGACCTGTGATACCTACTTTTTAAGTTGCGGATGTCCACATTTATATCGACAGCTGTGTCGAATTATATTGGGTATTGTACTAAACGACATACTCCATTTGTCGTGTATGTACAATAATTATAAGGAAATCGAAGTCAAATTCCATAAATCCCCTGGATTTATGGTTTTTAATGCCTTAACGCGTTAAGCGCGGCGTCAGTCCTTAAAGACTGATAGTGAACTTTCCGTTTAGGGGACGTCGATCCCTGGGAACTTACACGGCACAAAGAATTCAGAAGTCTCCATAGAAGCCCAGAAGGATACGGACGTTCGATGCTCGATAAATAGTATGTTAGTCAACGGATGGCGGCGCTGTAAGCATCTCTCCATCTCTCTTCATATTATGGCGATATATAGCGAATTGTATTCTTTCTCTATCTTACACCCAATACTCGCCTTTCTATATGTGCCCATAATTATGAAAGTGGTCTAAGTCATATATTTTTTGTTTCGAAATTACATTGAATTAATTTAGTTTGAAATAATGTGGCGTGAAATAACTATTAAACTCATTTTTTTTTTTTTCAATTTTGACTTAGACCACTTTCATAATTATGGGCACATATGCGTCTCTCTTCCTCCCGTATGTGAGATATCGTTGGCTAACACATGCGATCTCTCTTTTACCCCCATTTCTGGTTTGTTAGCCAACTTTTAGAGCATCAAGTGCTAACATAGGATCTGGGCTTCTATGGGACTTCTGAATTTTTTGCACGGCATCAAAAATCCTATATGTTAGAAAAATTGTGCCACCTGGACGGAAAGCTTAGCGAAATCGGCTGTGCGCTTAACGTATTAATTGAGTGCAGCGTGTCCCTTGCGTCCTCTGTGATTTCAATGGCAACTAAATTTCCTCTCCGAGACCTCGTGATACTATCATTTTAGCATAGAAGCGCATAAGACACTTCTTTTGCCTTTATCCCCGTGAAATGCGAGTTTCTAGCCTACTGGAGTGTTCTAAATCGTTGTACCGAACCTTTCGTTTTTCACATCGGAGCTTTCAATAACTGTATATCGATCGAAATATGAGAGATCGACGCCATTTTGGTTCCGGTCTAGACTGAATCAAATTTTCACATTTTTCCGAAAATCCAAGTTTTGAAAGTGTCAGGATAATTCTTAAGTGCTCCCAAGTCATGTGCCAAAGTTTCGGACAGTTCTGTCCAATACCCTTTAAAAGAAGTGTCTTATTCGAATCGACTGATTTGAGGGGAGACCTCTCATTTCACCTCAATTGCAAAATTAAAATCGTTTTAGGTTATTTACGTCGATAGAAAATGTTTTGGTCCCATCGGATTGGAATTCCCCCATTTCCCGCAAGTAGCGCTCGCGTCGTCGGATCAACGAAAATCTGAGATCTTGGGTCCCGATTCTGGGGAATCATTTTCTGTGGAACCTATCGGTGACGTTATGTCTCCTTGTACCACTTTATGATCACCATGAAGTGGTATAAGAAGACCCAACGCCATATATAGAAATCGTCCCCACTTTAGGGGTCCAAGATCTTCAGATTTTTTCCGATATAGTGCCGAGAGCGCCTCGAAGAAATATTGCAATAAAAAATGATTGTCTTCTAGTCTTAATCGCGTTTAAAACATCACATTCTGTATATCATGCGTGGATTATCGTTTCGCTTTGCATACCTTAATTGCAAGAGTTAAAGCATTTTAGATCATTTACGTTGATAGAAAATGTTTTGCATCACGTAGAATCGGAGTTCGCTCGCTTTCCGCAAGGATCGCTAACATCGTTGGATCAACGAAGATCTGACAAGGAAGGTACCTGAGGTGTCCCCCTCCGATTTTGTTCATTTTTAAATATGTTATAGAGGACTAAAATCTAAGGGACCCGTGTTTTTTTTTTATCGGCGGATAAACACTTTTAGGGGGTGAAATCAGGCTTCAAGGTTGGCCGTGCAAGGGGGTGAGTTGGCTGTTTCATATAGAAGCACTCGACCGATTTTCATGAAACAACCGTCAAAATGTAGGGAATGAGGAATTATGAAACATGCGTTTGGAATTTTTTGAAAAAATTCATTTTTAAGGGCTGAGCCACCCCTTTGAATATTTCTTATACCCCTTACGCGAGCAGTAATTGCTCTATCCATATGAAACTTGGTTAATTTATAGACCAGAACGATACAAAAAAAGTTTCATTTGGATAGAACAATTATTGCTCGCATAAGGGGTAAAAGACGTATTCAAAGGGGTGGCTTACCCCTTAAAAATGAATTTTTTCGAAAAATTCCAAATGCATGATTCATAATTCTTCATTCCCTACATTTTGACGGTTGTTTCATGAAACTCGGTCGAGTGCTTCTATATGAAACAGCCAACTCACCCCCTTGCACGGCCAACTTTGAAGCCTGATTTCATATCCTAAAAGTGTTTATCCGCCGATAAAAAAAAAACACGAGTCCCTTAGATTTTAGTCCT